GAAGGCGAAATAACTTCTACTTTTATTCTTGAATTTGCGTGTTGTAAGAAGAGTGAGGCTCAGAAGAAGTTATTTACCTGTCTGGTGTGATTATCAGTCCTATAAGCCAATATCTATGCTGTATGGGCCATTATTTCCATGCAATATTTTTGACAGCATAACAGAATCTCTGATCTCGGAGATACCGTATCACAACAGATCTCATGGTTATGTCACCTTTCTATTCAGAATCCTTGTAGTACTCTTTTACACCGACATTAATCGTACTTGGTCTTTCCTATTACAAACATCCCCTAGTAATAATATTTTGAATGCAAATATATCGGGCAAAAACAATAGCGTCGCGTTGCCTGATTGGGATCGCAGAAGGAACCAAAAATGGACAGTTTTTATTTCTCTAACCAGGGTAACATTTTTTCAGAGCGAGTAGAGGGACCTGCCACACCAATCAATGGCTTGCCTAGTCTTTGTGTGTATTACTCTGCCTTTATATTCTTCCTCGTTTCGATATATGCGGTGCCTGTTTCTGCTGATCATTTAGCGAAACTATTGCCTTAATTGATGATAGAGAACGGGGCTATGACACTGTGATGCTATTCCTAAAATAAATGAAACAAGAAGGCCAACAGGTGTGACTTGTTAAACATGACGTCATTGGAGAGAGAAGGGGCCTCTGGCACTGCGATGCCACCCTGGGAAAATGAAACAGGAACTTAATCACTGCGTTTCTAGACTGCAGGTATTTGTGAAATCCCTGAATCTTGTAATATGTATAACGAGCTTGGGCATTATACACACACACATATATATATATATATATATATATATATATATATATATATATATATATATATATATGTATATATATATATATATATACATACATACATATACATATGTATATGTATATACATATGTGTGTGTGTGTGTGTGTGTGTGTGTGTAACCACAGCTCGTCCTTCTAAATATCTAATTTAGCCATACCACTGAATACATCACGAGAAATCAGTGGGGAAAAGTGCAGTGCGATTCTTAAGAAATTTAAACAGATAGCTTCAAAGGAATTCGCGAATCTTCTACAAATTAAAAGTGTGGAACTAACCTTGTAATACGTCGTACACTGAAATGAAATCTTGTACATTCGTTAATCCTCAATGTTTTTTTTTTTTATGTTAAATTCGTTTCCACTTTAAATATGCATAATAATTATTGACACAAGAATGAACTGTACAACAATCTTTGCATTCAACAAAGCACTTCCAATTGCCTTTGTTTTTCAAGCTAACATACCAAAATTCTGATTCTTACAAGTAACACCCTTATCTAAAATTGTCATTCCAACGTGATACATCATTCTATACAAATCAGAATCAGAATATAAAATGATAAATGAATGATAAAAAAAAAATCCCATGAGCCGCGATGACGTCACGCCTCCGCCCGCCTCGTCGATCCGCATTCACGTTACGCGAACCCGTCGGACATGTAAACAAAGGCCCCTTTTTTCTCACGTGCGGGATTTTTAGGGGGAGAGCGAAGGTGAAACACTAACCACGAGAAGCTGTCCTGGAATTACGAGGAAAGCGAAAGAGTCTGAGATTTTGGGGTAAGTGTAGGTGTGAAGAAGAAGAAGAAGAAAAAGATTGAATTAGGTAGAGGGTGGGGAGTTATTTTGCTTTCGTTCTTCATGTTTTTGTTCTTCTTCTTCTTTCTTCCTTCTTCTTTTATAGGGTTTTAGACACCACTGTTCTTCATGTCGCTCGCGGTCTTCATGTCACTTGCATGTCTTTTTCTGCTTCCATTCTCACCAGAATTTCCTCGGGTTATCAAACTCGAGCAACTACTATTGTAACGCCTTCAGGTAAATGCTTCCAAAACGTCAGCAGTGGTTATTACAACAGAATTGAATTTACGTATTTGTACAGTTATTTTTATTCGAAACTACCCCTCATTATTTTATTAAGAATAGTTTGTCTTCCCGAAAAAACTGTGGCATTGTCATAGGTGAATAAGCATTCTTAACTGTTGGGTGATTCAGGTAGGGAGCCCAGGACCTTGCAAATTGCAGAGCTGGCACGTGCCCACTGAGCTCTAGGTTTCATATCCAGTACGGGCCAAAGCAATGCTGTGGTATTCATACTTTGTACACTGACAGATTTGTGTTTTTTTTTTTAATGAGAATTTAGCAGAATATATGTGGTAGTTCTTTGTTGACAAGTGCTAGAGTGTGAAGCATGGTAATTGTACCTTCATAAAGGCTAACAAATTTCCACCTTGTATGATTATTGAGATTTCAGGACAAGTTGTAGACTTACTGTTCTGTTATATATGTATCCACAGTAGTCTATAGGCAATGTGTCTGTAAAATTAGTCAAGTTTATACTTTTTGTGTGTGTGTTTGTGTGTGTGTGCAAGAATTTATGTATGCAAAACAGTGGGTGGTGTGCGTTCGATACCATTACCACACAGTCATCACATCTTTAAATTTCCTATAAGCCACGCCCTTCTCTCACTGCAGAAGGGCTGTTTTCATATGCTTTATGGTGATCTATGTTTGGTCTTATTTATTTATTTAGTTTTTCTTTTCTAGAAGCAAAGGGGTACTGTATTGGCTTCATTTGAAAATGTTGTCTTTGACTTCAAGCAAGATAAGATACTTATTTAACATTTTTAACACCCTTTCATAAACACTTATGCTTTCTATATTTACACTTATAACTTATAGGTCTGATTATAAACTGTGAGTACACTTTAGTTTGAATAATGAGAAGCAAAATTAATATTATGTATGTTTATGAAAATGATTGACATATATGTAATCTTGCTAGCATCTTCATCCTGGATGATTAAGGCTTATTTTTATCTCGCTATCCCTCTCCCTGTATAGATTACATATAGATATAAATATTTAGTTATATGAATATATAAATTAGATGCAAAGATGTCGATATGAAAAGTGTAAAAGAGAAGTCGTTAGACTAAAGGATCATGATGTATACTTCAGGCTACTTACACATGGAATGTTTTATATATGCTTGGGCCTGCTACCCAGGATCAATCTCACCAGTCCAGCTGCTGAGTAGTAACTGTCATGTAAAAGCAATTGACGTTAGAAGTGTCAAATTTTCATTTCATTTCATTTATAAGTTGCTTATTGGCATCTCATCACATTTTCTATGTAAAGTTCAAATTATTATCGTTTAGAATGGAAATTTAAATGTCTGGATAGATACATGAGCACATCAGCACATAGGACCTAAAATGAGCATTGAAGGATTTACATCATTAGTTTGAGAGCATTGCTTAGAAAGCCGCCAGATCATGCCTTATTTTTTATTGATCATATCAGATATGATGACAGAATACTAATGTGTAGAATGAGAACGGGAATTATTGTTAATGTAAATTTTTGTGTGATTGGTGTTAGTATTCCACAAGATTCTATCTTGGATTAATATATGAACTGGAAAAGTTATACATTTACAGATAGTTGCTTTTTAGCTACTTTGTTGTATTATATAAGATTCAAAGACACTAAAAAACAAGGTATAAACTCTAAGACACTTCTGATATATAATTGACTTATCTATTGATATATTAATTCAGTTACACTAATTTATTATTCTTTAATTGTTTCCTTTCTTTTTCCAGTAACAAAATCACAGCAAAATAAACAAAAATGTTGACACCAAAGTTTGAGGTGAAACAAGATGAAAAGCACATAATCATTACAGTGTTTGCTCCTTATGCAAGAATTTCTGATGCTGAAGTCAATATTGATGAAGATACATTCACATTTTATTCCTCTCCATATTATCTAAGGTAAGTAGGGGCTATATGACAGCATTATCATTTTCTTAATGTACATTAAGAAAATGGTTAAAAATTAAGTTAATTTGTAAAAGTTTCAAGTGATGGCTTAATGAGACTTTGTTATTAAGTAGAATCCAAATAGGCAGTTTTCTAGATATCGGTATCCATAATGTCCTTTATATCACTTTGAAATATTTGTAGTCTGTTCCAGCTTTGTCAATTAAAGATGTATTACTGCCTTAAGTAAGTTCCTAAACTATGAAAAAAGATTAATAATTCCTGAGTAGCTGGAATCATATACTTTGTTATCATGAATTGTCATAGTGTTCTTGATGAAGAAAATATGAAGATTGGAAAAGCTTACAAATTTTATTGAGGTGATCAAGTTGTGCAAAGAAATTATTTCAACATGACTGGGATTTTTTTTTTTTTTTTTTTTTTTTTTTTTTTTTTTTTTTTTTTTTTTTTATATAACTTAGAAGCCCCTCTCAAAAAGCAGCAAGCATTTAGACATAGAATTGATTAAGACTTAAACTTTCATTCTCATTGAAATGTTACTTTTGTATGGTTTGGTCTGCTTTGTAAAAGTAAACCATTCCAATGCTTATGTTTTCTTTGGCAAGAACATTTTATTACATTTCATGATAACAGGGTACATAAAATTTAAAATCTAATGTGTAAAGATGATATCTAAAAAAGAGAGAAATTATTATTGGAATGCAGTATTTTTTCTTTTAAATTTGGATTATAATTTAGGGGGACTTCACTAATATTTAACCAAATAAATAGTTCAATAGCATTTTTATTTAGTTAAATAGATATCTAGTATATGTAGAGAGAGTCAATTATATAATTGCATTCCAGACTCACCTTCTCAGGGAAGCTGACTGATAGTGAATTAGAGAGATACACAGCTAAGTTCGATGCTGACCAAGGAGCTTTTGTGATCCAGTGTGAGAAGCAGGTTCCAGGGGAGCATTTTACTAACCTGGATATGCTGACCACCTTATTAGCACCTCAAGGAGCATCAAGTGTTAAGAAACCTCTCATTGAAGTTGTTGGTGGTAAGTGTCTCTCTCTCTCTCTCTCTCTCTCTCTCTCTCTCTCTCTCTCTCTCTCTCTCTCTCTCTCTCTCTCTCTCTCTCTCTCTCTCTCTCTCTCTCTCTCTCTCTCTCTCTCTCTCTCTT